TGTGACGAGGAGCCTGAACTGGACACAGTGCTCCAGGTCTGGCCACATCAGTGATGAGTAGAGGGCAAGGATCACCTCCCTCGACCTGCTGGCAACACTCCTAATGCAGCCCTGATTACCTTTGGCCTTCTTTGAAGCAAGGGCACACATTGCTGGCTCATGTTCAACTAGATGTCCACCAGGACCTCCAGGTCCTTTTCTGCAAAGCTTCTTTCTAGCTGGGTGGCTCCCAGCATACATTGGTGCATGGGTTGGTTCCCCCCCACATGCAGGACTTTGCACTTCCCCTTGGTGAACTTAGTGAAGCTCCTGCCAGCCCATTTCTCCAGCCTGTCGAGGTCCCTCTGGATTGCAGTACAACCTTCTGGTATACCAGCCACTCCTCCCAGTTTTGTGTTATCTGCAGCTGCTTTGTTTTATCCTTCATAAGATGATTTCAATGAGATTATAAAATACCACCATAAAATATAAAGACCTTATTTTTAATATTATACCACCACAAGTACCTGTTCACCAACTACGATCGATCCACAGAACAACAGTAAATACATTGTGGTTGCTTAGCAGATACTTTATAGCAGCTATTAATACTTGCAATGAAAACATCATGACTGGTGCTCTGTGAGGAAAGTACTGAGCTAACAGTGTTACACTGTTCCAAAAAAAGAGGGGAATTTCTCCTGTGGAAGTGCTGTCTTCCTCCTGGACAAGCACAGTTATAAAGAAAAAAGGGAACAAAGTACTGCCTGTGTTCCACATCCAAAAACATTGCAGTAAACCTCTGCCCAGGCATTCAGGACAGGATATCAGTGCCACTTTGGTGGTATTTGTAACAGAACAAGTCTCTCTCTCTTTCTGACTGTCATTCAAGCATTACTTACCAAGACATATTTCCAAAGGAATGCTGCAGGTCACTGATGATACGTTGATGGTCACTACTACAATTATATTATTCTCATGGTAGTATTGAAATGCTATCCATTGAAATGTTCCTTGCAGGATCATCAAGAACAGATTTACTTTGCCATGTTTGAAAATGCTGACATTTCCACAGACCAGCACTGCTCATTTGCAAAATTGAGACTGATTTCAAAAGGTCTATACACATTTCAAAGCTCTCGCGGGACAGCAGAGATGACAGTAAGCAGCCTAGCCTTGACTAATAGGCCGATGCTGCTTTACGGTAGGACACTCTCCAGCTGCTGGAAAGCATTGAAGGGAGACTGAAACATTATGAGATAGCCAACTTTTAGGCTGCTCCATTTCTACCGAAGGACTATAGTAGGAACCCTTGTGGATCCACTAATATGCAAGAAAAGCAGATATTTTCATCCAGCTTTTGTTACTTTCCAAAATACACTTATCTATTAATTGTTTCATGCTATATCAATCTACCAAAACTGTTTTCACCCCACTTATATCACATATAACAAATGCAGGGCCTAGATGATACCAAACACTTTTGAAAGTGACACCTTATATTTTTAGGGATCTGTAAATATATGAGGAATGTTGTCACTGTGATTGATAGATACAAATTAGAAGAAAAATGAAGTTCCAGGCAGAGATGGTATCTTTTATTATATCATTTGATCCCTTTGTGAAGAGCAGATACCAAATTCCTTCATCAGATCTCAGTGAGGCTCATGCTAAATCCAGGCTAGGAGCAAGGGCTCCGAGCACTTGGTTTCCCCAAGATTAATATCAGCACTGTGCACTGCTGGAGTCACCCAGCAGTACAAATTTGATCTGACTCAGATGTCGGCACATGACTGCAGTTCTCTCACGTTAGTAAGACACCATGGAACTGTATTCTTTTATGCTGGCTCTGTGCCGGGGGAGGAGGCAGGGGCAAGATGCACTGAGCTGACTCAACAAAGATTTCTGAACAAAGATCCACCAGAAGCTCAGCCTGTTGCAGCCTATAGACAGGGCATTTGGGAGTGGACTTCAGGAACACTCAGCCCAGCTGCAAGCTGTTGGCATGTTAGTAACATCTTTACTTGATCAGTTACTGAGGTTCGAGAGATAGGTTGTTAGCACCTGCAGAGCAGAAAGTGCGGCCAAAAGGAGAGAAAAGAGGTCACCAGCCTTGTGGGAGAGCAGGAGGACCAAGCATCTAAAAGCTACCAGAAGTAGAGGGATCTGCTAAAAGTGGTGAAAAGTAAAATAAGCATTTCTATTTGTAACTTACAATCATAGCACCGATATTATGATTCCTGTCCTCCTTTCATCCCTCTCTGACATCTACACCTAATGCTGAAATTTGATTGTCTGACTGCAACTGGAGAGCTCAAAGTTGCAGTCCCAAGTAAGCAGAAATCCTCCTAATGCAGATCCAGTACTGCCACACCATCTCTTCCCAGTACACCATCTTCCCCAGGGTGGTGTCAGGATTAAGCCTCTGTCCTTTGTTACCACCACTGGACCACAATAACATCTCACTGAAGCCCTGAACTTTCAAAGATGGACACACAGTATGTGGTCAATATGACAAAGCCTTTCAGAGTCCTGTCCACCTTCAGGCTACCTCATTTTGCCACAGTGAGACATACTGTTTGTTCATGTCAACAACATTGATTTCAAGAGAAAGATGCAAACATATACTGGTGGAGAAGACTGGGACAGGCCTTCCTTTCTCATTCCTCCTCCTCCTCCACAGCACTGATGAGGTGTTTATTACTTTGGTGTCTATCTGCTGACCTGTATAGTATAGATTTGAACTGAGATTAAACAAATAAATTTTACTGTTCAACAAATATAAAATATTTTTTGAAGTCACACTTGGTCAGATGCAAAGTCTGGAAAACATCAACCCAAAAGTTACCACAAAATAAAATGAAACCATAATTCAGTCAGATTCAGCATTACTCAATGCAATGGTAAGCACTGCTTCCAAAGCCTGAACCTACTGCCCTTTTATGAGTTTCTCTCTGCTGAAGACTATAAAACCTCAATCTTTCCTGAACTGTAAAATGTATTGAGTCAAGTTCGGTTTGGTTAAGCAAGAGCAACACTTACTGAAATCAGAGAGACCTAGAGCAAATGGGGGTCCTACAAATCAGTTGCCCTGACATTCACAACTTGTCATACAAGGACTGATAAAATCTTCAATACGGAGTTATTTGGAAGATTAATTTGTACTCAGTGGACCTGGATCCTTCAAAAGCGTGAAATGGCTTGGAAAATTGAGGGGACACATTTTTCCCAGATACTTAGGTAGTCACCTGTCTACCTGATCATGCAGCTAGATAGCTTTGAAAGTGTAATCTTCAGTCATATTCTCAAAGGAGACAAATTTCTAGAGATCTGCACAGACATCCAGGAGTTTTATAAAGTGCCTAGTTGTTTAGTTCACGATAAAATCAATGAGAGTTAAAGGCCTCATATAAAACCACGTCAATCAGCCTAATTAAAAAACAGCTGCTAAGATCATGTGCCTTGTTAAAATGAGTGAGGGTGGAGCTCTTGCAAGCTCTCAAAGCTACGCTTTGGCTTTCCATGATACAGTCCCCAGGCAGCTAGCAGGAGCACCTGATCAATAAGAAGAGGACAGAAGAGGCGTCAAGCCTGGATCAGCCTCCAAGCACAACTGGGCTGTCAGGACAGAAATCTGGCAACAGCAGGGAACAGACAGCCTGTAGAAAAGCTGACACTAAAACAGGCCAGTCCAGACCTTCACAAAGACACTTCAATCATATCTGCACTGCTTAAAGAAAGCCGTGGGTTTGCTTAGACCATTTGAGAAGGTGTTTCTTTAAATAGCGACTTAGAATGAAAGTTGCCACTTCCAATTTAATCGCCCTTCTTTAACATAACCTGGTGCTTTGCAGCTGGATAATTAACCTTGATATTCATTCGGACTTCAGAACACACAATTCCCACCGCTGTCAATTAGCTGACGATGTACACAGTGTGTTGATGTAAGATTTTTGTGTGACCCTGGCAATATGGCATTTGGGAAATTTCAGTAGCTAACAATCCTCCTGGAGAAAGTCCTTCACAAATTACTCTAACAATTTTAGAATGGGAAGTGAGGTTGTGAATTTGTCACTGGATTGAGTTCACTAAACAAAACAGATATACATTAAAGTTTACCCTACTTTCTATTCTTACTGCAATGCTGTTTTCTAAAAGATTGTTCCAGATAATTGGCAAACCTTCTTGTTATCATGGTCTTGTACAGATCTGAGTGCAAAACGCCTTGATCTCAGCTAGAGCATTCAGAAGTTACCATACTTTTTAATATGAGCGTGAGGCTGCAGGCAGGGTTATAAATGATTTTTACAAAATAATTTTTTATATATGAGGCAGTGCAATAAAATGGGACACGGTATGGGATGGGCCAGTGGCACGTTACTTTTC